CTGTAGTAATGTCATTTGTGTTTGTGCAGCTATGATTCTGAAGTTTCGTTACTCAAAAATGAGTGTTATTCATAAGATAGTATCTGCAATATTATTATCAGGTCATTGCTCAAAACAGGTATTTAATCTTGTGACAGTAATGTGCATCATTTGTTGTTAATTCCACAGACCTTTGATAGATTACACTGTCTTTGTTTATGTATGTCATACATGCAAACACAGAATTGTAACTGTATTATCTGCAAATCAAGATGCTAAAGTTAGGAAATGGAGAAGCAATTTAATTGATGAAGCAAGATTCTCTGTAAGATGCAAAATATACACGATTCATTTTTCTAACTATATATAGGAATCCCATTTATCTAACGCATTTCTTGACAATTCATCATGTGATGTTGAGGATGATAATGAAAGCACGAGTACTGATGATTCTGATATTGACTTCATGGACACAGTCGATGGAGATAGAGGTTCTGAAACTTCTGACAACATGCAGTCTTCTCCTATTACCAGTTCTGATGAATCAGAATTATCAGTTTCATTAGATACCACATTATGTATGTCACATCATGCCGTAGTACCGTCATTTACCTCAGACACTGCAGCATTAGATGTAACACTCTCATCTACACATAAAAGCCCCAGTTATAAAATAACAGGTGACAACCTTGACTTGAACATTCAACAACGATTCATGAGGGTTAACCAATATCAAAAACATTCGCTTCATTTATTTCATTCATTTGCTGCTGCAGATAGAATAGATACTAGTGCAATGAGTGATACTCGTGAGCATTTATGCTTGCCATCTCCTCAGTCTGTAGTAAGTAGTTTACTTCCTTCATACGAAGATGATAATGCGCTACAAGAAAAAATTCAAGTTTTAATTTCACGTGTCTTGGTTCAGCATATGAAGTTTTTCTCTGATTCTTTTAAAGATATTGTACCTAAGCACATACCGCATGATTATGGTCTTTAAATGTCACAAAAAACAGAAGGGGTAATGAAATGTAAATGTATTTCATTGTTTAAAAATTAATTTTATATAGGTCCAACTTGGAATATTAGCAAAAAATGAAAATAAAGTTGGAGAAATGATAGAAATATTGAATCATATTTACCAGAATTATGTACCTACATTGGAAAGTGAATCATCTTACTGATAGAGAGTACTCAAGAAGAAATTGTCATCAAGACATGCAAGTCTCATAATTTGTTGCTGGGTGGAGATGAACTAACAGTTGCCAGAAGCAGGTCTGCCATTAGTCATGTTGATAATGGTGATAGTCCATCAGCTAAACTGACAGGGCTCATACCAGTTATTGAGGACTGGCATTCAAAGATGACATTGCTAAATGTAAGAAAAAGAATGGGACTCTTTATAAATATTGTATTAACTATTTTGTGCTATTATAGGCTATTTGGAAGCATTTTTATTCTCTTAAGTCAGGAGGTGAGCATGGGACCCTTTATCAACTAAGAAATTTACTTGGTAGAACCAATGTAAAAAAAGACCCATCGAAATCATTTGATGAATGTGAGGATTTTTTACTAACAGCTATCGAAGGTTTCATTGTTACTGCAGCAATGCATATACTCAGGATGAAGTCATTGGATGATGTTCCAGATAGTGAAGTAGTACCTGAAGATTCATGGCTCAATCCTGAATTAGAAAGAAAAAGAATTCTGTCTGAAGTAACGAGAGATATTTGATATGTATGTAAGGGCCAGGTATGCCACAGACAACACATTTTCATTTGGAAGGGTTATTTTAACACAATACCAAGCAGAACTGTTGAGAATTGGTCTATTTTATTGTGAATATCGTAATGCAATTAAAGAGGGTGATGGGCACAGGGTGTTACGTTGCTGGCGATACTTGCTGCCAATTTTTTTCAATACAAATCGCAGGAACTACAAACGAAGCTCTTTATTTACTCTACCAACACAAGTACCTTCTCACAGAGAGGCAATCTTTTCAGTTACTGTATAATCGTTTTGTCAATATTAAGGGAGGTAGCGGTTAGAATGTTCCCAGTGATTTACATATGGAACACCTGAATAAGCTTTGCAAAGGATGCGTACGAGATTTGGGACCTAATAAAACTATTTCTTCCATAGTACAGGCATCTAAATGCATTGGAACAATTGATTCATTACTTGTTAACTTTGATTCCAAAAATGCAATCAAATCTGAATATGGTTTCCATAAGAAAGCTTCCTGTTCTGGTGATATAGAAATAATCTTAGATGAATTGATGAAATATCAAGTCATGTCTCCACAAGTTACATTAAAAAGGAAGCATTCATCTTTCAAGAAACCAAAGAATCTATTATCAAAAGATAATCATAAAACATCGATTTAATATATGTGACCATAATTGACAAAAGGTACCTTATGGCGGGTAGTGAAATTTGTCTTTCTAGCCCAAGAAATCCATTTTCCTGAGCCCCATTTATCATACAATTACTCCACAGGATGCAAAAAGTTACCATGAAACTTTTAGAAACAATGATTGTCTAACAAAGCACTCACTGGTTGATATTTTCCATTATAACGATTAATTTTAAAATCCGCCATAAGGGCCCTTTTGTCAATTATGGTCACATATGATAACTCATATTCCAGAACGATAATTTGTTGTGTTATTTATGTATGACAGAAAGTAGTACATGAACAACTTTGTTTACAAATGTCACAACATAAACACTTACTATTAAAGTTAATATGATTATATCCTTCCATTGTTTCAAATAGTAAATCACGTCTGCATAAAGTTGTGTTTTGTACATATTCTTTCATTTTATATTGTAAAGTTTTCGGTAGTTTTTTGTTGACTAATAATGTTGCCTCTGACTGCTTACCATCTCTTCCACATCTTCCTGTCTCTTGAATGTATGACTCTCTGTCATCAGGTGGTAAATAATGTATCACGTGATGCACTCCCACACAATCTATTCCCAAACCGAAAGCCATTGTACAAATGACAATTTTCAATGGCGTAGAAATGGAACCATTGAATGAAGACACAATAGTTGACTTTGCAGAGGGATCAGTATGGCGATGAAACATATCAACAAATTGAAATCTGAAAAGATCTGGAGCATCAGTTGGCTCAAGAATTTCATTCTTCATGAATTGCTTAAAAAATGAATAAATAGAAGAACAGTCATTTAGTGTTCGGCAAAAAATGATACATCTGCCCATTGAACTTCTAAGACTTTGAAGTTTCTTTGCAAGGGGGGTAAATACTTCTTCAAGAGTGGAAAATTTTTCTATACTGTATTTTATATTATCCTTTGATGGTGACATAGTGATAACTCTAGGTGACTTCATACCTATCAAGCTTTGTACCTCCTCACGAGATGAACAAGATATGGTAGCAGTCAATGCAAGTACACTAACATGAGGAGGAATGAGGCTGTGAATTTCTACTACACGAAGTAACATCTCTGAATGATTCTCCCCTACATGTACAATAATTAACCACTTGTGAGTT